TAAAGATTCTGTTGTTGAAAGAGGAACAGAATCTCTTGGGGAATGTTGGCAAAGCAGCACCCCCAGAAGACACACCTGGGGAAGCTATTTCTTGAGCACCCATACCTTACCCTTATCAGAAAGTTTTCCAAAGATAAAGCTGTGTGTCTGGGAGCACAACCAGATTTGTAATTATCCCATCTGGGAAAAGGGGTCTAGTGGGGTGTTGGAAAAGAGAAGAAATTGGCAGAGGGGCCCACGTTCTGCAAGTCTTATTAAAGAACCACAGTGGGCACATCCCCGGTGGAGAGTGTGCAGGAGGCAGCTGTCAATGTTTCTCTCTCATCTACGTTTCTGGCTCTCTATCTCTCTCCCTTCCTCTCTGTAAAGAACCACAGTGCCAGCTTGCCAAAGTCTACCCTATTCTCCTAGCCCTCTCTCCTCATCATTATTTTTTATTTACAGGATTATACAAATAAGGTCAAGCCAGTTTCCACCCCTTTTTACTCTTTTCCTGCAGTTGTCATCAGTTTGGCTCAAATAAACTCATAAAAATTCTTACAGGTTTGGACGTTTCTTACAGTGACACCAGGTAGTTCAGATGGTTAAAGTGTCATCCCGATACCCCAAGGTTGCAGGTTTGATCCCCAGTCAGGGCACATATAAGAATCAACCAATGAATGCATAAATAAGTGTAACAATAAATCAATGTTTCTCTCTCTCTCTCTCTCTCTCTCTCTCTCTCTCTCTCTCTCTCTCAAATTTCTCAAATCAATATATTTTTTTAAAAAAAGAAAAGAAAGAAAGAGGGATGGAGGTATATAAGACATCTGAGCTAGGAATGAAGTAATGGGCCTGGGTTTTCAAAAGGTCATTGCACCCTGGTGTGGCTCAGTTGACCAAGTGCCGTCCCATGCTCCAAAAGGTCCCCGGGGTTGATTCCCAGTCAGGACACGTGCCCAGGTTGCTGGCTCAATTCCCAGTAAGGGGCATGCAGGAGGCAGTCAACTGATGTTTCTCTCTCTCTTCCTCCCCCTTCCTCTCCCTCTAAAATCAATAAAAAACATTTTTTTTAAGTCACTCTGAGGTGTTAAGAATGTTTCATTTGCCCTGTCCTATAGATAGGTCAAAATAAGTTATCTCTGGCAATCTTTTATTGTGGTCAAGGCCCCTGATTCAAGTTCTTCCTCCAGGTAGTTAAGGGAGGAACAGAAGTTTCTCTTGAGAAGAAACTTGGCTGAAGTCATGTTTAGCTCAAAACAATCTGTATACCACAGAGACACATCTTGACATCATGAAGAGAGCCAAGCCGAAACCAGTTTGGCTCAGCGGATAGAGCATCGGTCTGCGGACTGAAAGACCCAGGTTCTATTCCGGTCAAGGGCATGTACATTGGTGGTGGCGGGCACATCCCCTGTGGGGGGTGTGCAAGGAGACAGCTGGTCAATGTTTCTCTCTCATCGATGTTTCTAGCTCTCTATCCCTCTCTCTTACTCTCTGTAAAAAATCAATAAAATATATTGAGAGAGAGAGAGAGAGAGAGAGAGAGAGAACCGAGAATGCTAGAAAACAAAGACAAAGGAAGAAAGCACCAATAGAGCACCACCAAAAGGAAGAGAAAGAAGCCATTGTGCTTCCCTGGAAGTTTTGCCAAAGATTTCAGGCAAGAAACAGGAACACTCAACACACCTGGAGAAGTTCCTGCCCAAAGGTTAGAATGGTGATTTAATCAAGACATACGTGGACAGAAAGGAAAGGGCGCATCCTGAGCACATGCAGTCTCCACATGCATTTTAGAGCCAATTTTTAGAATTGTGTGCAGTAGGGGCTCAGAAATGTAGAGGGCCGCCTGAAAAGGCGCATGGACATTCTTTTAAATCGTTAGCTGAGCCTGAGGCATCAGCATAGTACCTTTGTCCAGGTGTCATCAGGGGCGGGTCTAGATATGTAAATCCAGTAATGCTAGAGCCCAGTTAAGAATGCAAATAAGCCGAAATTGGTTTGGCTTGGTGGATAGAGCATCGGCCTGTGGACTGAAAGGTACCAGATACAGTAGGGGGTATGCAAGAGGCAGCTGATCGATGGTTCTCTCTCATCGATGTTTCTAGCTCTCTATCCCTCTCTCTTCCTCTCTGTAAAAAATCAATAAAATATTTATTTTTTTTAAAAAAAAGAATGCAAATAAGCTCCTTTGACCCTATAAATAAACCTGCTGTGTGTCTTGGGCCTTCACCTTGCTGCCTCTCCATCAGAGAGATGGCTCCCACCTAGCACCCAGCTTGATGTACCTATTTCTGCCTCTTGTCTCTTTCTTTCTCTAATTTCTTAATCTCCAGCTTCTCCACACAGAGAGGAGCTGTCGTTTTCTGTGATAGACACGGAAAACAGAGAAACAGCCCTCCGCACAGAAATATTTGGGAAATGTGGGGTTCATAACTCCCATGTTCCTGAATGCATGCTTGAACAATTTAAAATACGTTCCAGATCAAGAATCAAAAGAACTGAATATTTGATGACAGCATAGCCCAGAGCTTCTTTCCTTTGTGCAGCCCATTCACCAACCTGAGCTTTGTTTTCTCCATCTCTAAAAGAATGAGGTGGTACCACTGAGCCTGTGCTATGTCCTTGGTAGCAGATGCTCAGGCTAGGGCTTACACTCTAGGGGCTGGAATCACATGCCCTGAGCAGGGGGTCCTGGAAGCCTTCCATGGAGTCATACAAGGGAATCCTCAGCCCTGATTGAGCACTGGCTTACCTACTTCTAGTCTGCTACTACACCCCCTCTTTTCATGGCAGGGCTCTCAGCTCTATACCCATTGTGGGAACTCTAAACAAAACTCTCCCAGTGATGTTTGACATTCACTAAGAAGTCTCTTAGAGAGGGTCTATAAAAAAAAAAAAAGAAAGAAAGAAAGAAAGAAAGAAAGAAAGAAAGAAAGAAAGAAAGAAAGAAAGAAAGAAAGAAAGAAAACAAAAGAAAACAAAAGAAAAGAGAAAGAAAGAAAGAAAGAAAGAAAGAAAGAAAGAAAGAAAGAAAGAAAGAAAGAAAGAAAGAAAGAAAGAAAGAAAGAAAACAACAGCCTGGCTGTGGTGGCTCAGTGATTGAGCATCAACCTATGAACCAAGAGGTCATGGTCCAATTCCCAGTCAGGGTGCATGCCTGGGTGTGGATTGTAGGGTTGATCCCTATTGGGGGGCATGCAGGAGGCAGCCGGTCAATGATTCTTCCCATCCTATGTTTCTTTTTGTTTTGTTTTGTTTTAATATATATTTTATTGATTTTTGTACAGAGAGGAAGGGAGAGAGATAGAGAGCTAGAAACATCTATGAGAGAGAGTCATCGATCAGCTGCCTCTTGCACACCCCCTACTGGGGATATGCCCACAACCAAGGTACATGCCCTTGACTGGAATCAAACCCAGGTCCCTTCAGTCCCCAAGCCGACGCTCTATCCATTGAGCCAAACTGGTTTCGGCCCATCCTATGTTTCTATTGTAACTCTCTCTCTCCCTCTCCCTTCTTCTCTGTAATCAATAATACATTTTTTAAGAGAAAGCAACATAGCTATAGTGATGGAATTTAAAAATAATATTAAAGGAGATGGAGGAGGAGAGATTAATCTATACCAGGATGAGTTCAATGTATTTTGTATGCTTTATCTCATTTCATCCTTTAAAAAAACGCTCTGACAGTACACATTTTGAGAAGAGGAGGCTGAAGAAGCTCAGGGATACTAATTAATCTACCCAAGGGCCTCTGACTGCAAAACAGAGTGTAACCAATAAAACCATGCTCTACTGCCCCTGCACAGACTCCAAATTCTACGGTCATGGGCCCCTTGGGCACAAGCCTGCCTCCAGGAGCAAGAATAAAACCAATGGTAATGTCTTCTCAACTCTCGGTCCCTCACCACCACTTTAAGAAGGACAGACCTACTGACCTTTCCCCAGAGCTGCAACCCTATAGCTCCGGGGAAGCACTGTCTTGCTTCACTCCTGACACAGGGCATCCAACCTTGAACATCACACTGAACTGGCTTTTCATGTGAGAGAGTCCCAACCCACTCACTCCAAAAAGACAACTTGTCCCAGAACTCTCCAAGTTCCCAGATTCTAGCCACCATTTCAAACTAGCCATTTGAAAAATACAACCTGGCCCTAGCCATTTTGGCTCAGCGGATAGAATGCCGGTCCATCCAAGGAGTGAAGGGTACTGAGTTCAATTCTGGCCAGTGATGCATATCTTGGCTGCAGGCTTGATCCCCAGCGGGAGTTCAGGAGGCAACCCATCTATATGTCTCTCTCCCATTGACGTCTCTTTCTCTCTCTGTCTCTCCTCCCTCCCTTCCACTTTCCCTAGAAAATCAATGGGAAAATATCTTCGGGTGAGAATTAACAAAACAAAAGAAGAAAAGAAAAAGAAAAAAGGCAGCCAGCCATTGGTGGGCTTTTCTAAGGAAAGAGTACCTATAGAGTGTGCCTCCAGCCCTGTGGCCAAATCTTCCCACTCAGAGAAGCCTATTCTTTCTCCGCTGTGCCTGAGCGTCTCCCTAAACCCTGGTCAGGCCAGTGGTTGACACCTTGAGAACCTTCGTTTCTCACAACACTGCAAGTTCTTACTCACATTCTTTGTGGCCCTAAATGAAGCCTGTGTTTTACAACATCACTGCTCCGGGCTCCTGTGCTGTCAGCGGGACTCAGAAGTACAGGAGAGACCAAGTTGATGCTTTCCCTGCCATTTTTCCATCAGGATCCATTTGAAGTCGAAGGGAAAGTGCCCGGGCCTGGGCAGGAGACAGCACCTGGTCTCTATTCCTGTTCTGCTGTGACTGAGACCCGTGTTCTATAATTTGTACAAGAAGAAGTAGCATGGAGTGGCCCACAGACTCTGTCCGGTGACCCTGAGGAAGCCTGTCGGCCTGGGGTGCTCTTCCAGGTAGAATGAGCCAGCCCCATCCAGCTCTATAAAGGAGCCTCCCAGGCAGCCGCCCCCAGGAGATGCCAGCTGTGTCCTGGTCAGCAATGAGGCTCCATCTCTCTGGGCTGCTCTTCCTCCTAGTGATTTCATTGGATTCAGGTAAGGCTCTGGGTACAGGTCTGACCATGAAGGTGGGGTTCCTTCAGGGACCGTGGTACTTAAAACCTCAATGGATATAAGCCCAGCAGGGGGACACCAATATCTGATGGACCCTCAGGTTGGAGATGGAGGTGGGTTAGTGGTCTTTGGGTCCCTGTCCTTTTCCTCTGTGGCTACATCCTGAAGGGTCTGCCAGAGCTTCAGAGAGGGGAGCCCATTGCATCCCACGCATATCACCGTTCATCCATCCAGATTCCTCTTTGCCCTCACCTTCCTCTAATTAGCCTCAGACTAGGAGGCCCTCGCTGAAATGTTGTAGGAGATGAGAGGACAGGGTCCAGAAAGTTGATCACAAAATAATGCAGCAACCACCAGCAAGAGAAGACAGGCCTAGGGTTTCACTCAACCTCTGGGAGTCTGATTTTTCTTTTTCATGTTTTTTGTTTGTTTGTGTTTGTTTGTTTGTTTTTGTTCTTCAGGGAATGGTCTGGTTGGAAATGATGGAATATTAGTTCGTGCCTGCACGGTAGCTGGTGGCAAATGTTTCTTTGGTTGTAAACAAGGATGGCAATGGATAATGTATTGTTTCAGCATATTTTCTTGTTGCAAAGAATTGAAAAGAGAAGTCAAACCCCCCCAGGCCTTTGAGTTCGATTAAAAGGATATGTGAATGGCTAAAAGGCCAAAGTCTACAATCTATGTGTGAGCATCTTTAAGGAGTCATGGGTAGCTAATGGGGGGGTCAGACTCTGATCAATATATTGGCAAAATTTCAGAAGTATTTTTTGTAAAGTGGCAGGCGCTATGATGAACCTCCTATTCTTCTTTCTGCCGGCCCATCTCCATTACTAATTCCTATTTAAAGTTCAAATTTAATTGCTTAACAATATATGACTACAGGCCTAAGAATATAACACCAGCTGAGCCTAATAGCAATAGCTTATTATGTGGCAGTTACATTTTTAAGTGGCTTACATAACTAAATCACTATCATTTTCACCAAAAAAATCATTTCTCCCATTTTACAGATGAAGAAATGTTCCAAGCTCACACAGTAGTAAAAGTTAGTTAGCACTGAGTTTGAACCCAGATAATCGTTGATCCAGTGTCTTCACTTTTGAGCTAGACTCCCCCTCTCAACTATGAAGTATAGGAATCTAGCTGGAAGTACTGGTTGTAGTTTGTAGTGATTGTACATTTGTAATCCAATGAGGAGGCAAGAATCCAGTAGGTCCATGAGACACCACAGCCCTCAAAACTCTTCCTCTGGATTAAATCTATACGCCTCCTGGTGGCTAACTTGCTTTTGAGACTCTGCTCAGGGGCTCTGAAGACCCAAGCCTTGTTGTTGCCTGACTATGGGGGTAGCAATGGACCAAACACAAAACAAACCTCCCGAGGGTCTGCAGCATTGCTGGCATTGTTCCTACCTCAATTCCTCACCACCCTTCCAGTGTCCTCAACCAGAGGCAGAGGTCATTATCTTCTCAGGGGAAAAAAAAAAAAAAAAAAACAGGAGCTGAGTTTGGGGTTTTTATTCTCCATCAGTGTGCCTGAAGGAAACACATCTGAATGTCTGTGCTGGAATTCTAAGCTAGGCTCCATACTCCTGGAAGACCTACATGTTCAGACCCCTCCTTGCCATCAATCCTCAACATTCCAGCAAAAAGAAAGAAGAAAGAAAAAAAGAAAGAAAGAAAGAGAGAGAGAGAGAGAGAGAGAGAGAGAGAGAGAGAGAGAGAGAGGAAGGAAGAGAGTGGGGGGGGAGAAAAAGAGAGAGAAGAGCTTTTGCTGGTTTCACTCAGTGAATAGAGCATTGGTCTGTGGACTAAAGGGTTCAATTCCAGTCAGGGCACATGTCTGGATTTCAGGCTTGATCCCCAGTAGGAGGCATGCAGGAGGCAGTCAATCAATGATTCTCCCTCATCATTGATGTTTCCATCTCTCTTTTTCCTCTCCCTTCCTTTTTAAAATAGGAAGGAAGGAAGGAAGGAAGGAAGGAAGGAAGGAAGGAAGGAAGGAAGGAAGGAAGGAAGGAAGGAAGGAAGGAAGGGAGAGAAAGAGAGAAAGAGAAAAAGAGAAAAAGAGAGAAAGAGGAAAAGAGAGAAAGAGGGAAAGAAAGAGAGAAAGAGAGAAAACCAGAAATCATCACTGGTCCACAGAGGTAGCCTCCTAGGACATCTATTTGAGGTTATGCCTAGAAAAATTTTATGATGTTAGGTGCCTGTATTAGCTCATTTAAATCAAGCCCATAACAAAACGAAAGGGAGAAGTGGTGCAAAAGTAATATCAATGCAATAAGATAAAATAATAACAATAAACAGAAAATAAGCAGAGAAAACAAGGGGATGGGAAATAGCAAATATTCTTCACCAGATATCAGAAGGATCCACAACCCCAAAAATACGCTAAAAATCCTTACCCTTTTCTTGTGTTCCTCAAGCCACAATTGTACCAGCCTGGGGTGTGATGTTGCTCTAACTTGGACAGTGAGATGCAAAAAAGAGACACTGCACAACCTTTGATTTTCTTCAGCACAGCTTAGATAACATGGGAAGGTTCAAAGTCATTCATGCTGAAGCTCACTCTTATGTGAAGTAAATAAGAATGCTGAATTATCATACATAAAAGCCATTATGTGTTCACCTTGTGGCTCCAAGAGTGTAACCTCAGAGGTAGTGGCCACCCCCTCTGAGGAATTCAGAGGATTCAATCTTTGCTCCCCGTATCCCAGAGCAGTCATGGGGAAGGCCCATGGGTTAGGCTTAGCAAATCAGATGTCTGTCCCCAGGAACCAAACTTGAATGAATGATATCACTGCATTGGTGCCATGGGAGCATGCTTTGTGCTCATGCAGCAGACTGTTTCAGAACCATGATCCAGCAGTAGGGACCTTCAGGCTCTTTCGTTGATGGTTCTATTCCAAGCCTGTTCAGAGCGGTCCAGATATCTTTCCAGTACCTTCTCCTTCGGCTTAAAAATGTGCCTAATTAATGTCGGTTACTGGAAACCGAGAAATCTGAATGATACTGAGAACTCTTACTGATACCTCATCCTTCAATCGTTTTAGGATTAGATAAGGCAGTATATTAGATTATGTGTGTAACATGCTTGGCACTTTGTCGTCAGGCTTCCATATCCTGACATCGTGTTAGCTAGGTTCCAGGGCATAAGGAGAAGAATTGTGCTGCCTTTGGGGAAAGGCATTGGAGATGAGCAGCAACCCTAAACCCTAAACCCCAGCCACTCTGAGGCCAGTGCAATGGTGTCCATAGAAATCAGAACAGGCATCTACAGATGCAAAGGAAAGGCAGATCTGACGCAAAGAATCAAACACAGCCTCCCCCCCACCACCCCCCCAGCATCACCACCTATACTATACAATTCTTTTTTCAAAATCAAACAAGGAGGTTTCAAGTTTTGGCTACGTATTAGATTCCTGGTCTGCCCCAACAAATGACCACAAAACTGGGTGGGTCATAACTACAGACATTTGTTCTCTCACTGAGCATGACCGTTTGCAGAGAAAAGGCACAGAGAGGACAAGCTGTCCTCTTAGCCACACAGCTAAGTGGGAGTCAGAGAGCACATAAAAATTCAAGCCAAGGGTGACAGCAATTAGTGTCCTAACCATGGCCTGGTGGAATGGTTGCAGACTGAGCCAGGGTGTATCAAGGACACACATATCCCTGTGCTGCTGGGTCTGACCAGGTGAGGCACTTGTTAGCCTGGGGAATCTGCTGCCCAAAGCAAGCTCCCTCATCTGAAACACACACACACACACACACACACACACACACACACACGGATGCCTGCATCTGAAAAGGCCCTTAGAAATCATCTCTAGATTGGAAAACTGAGGCCTGGTGTGGGAGGGAGTAGGAGGGAAGGAGTGGACTTGCCCAAGACCACCATTAGTGAGGCCAGGAACCAGCAACGGCACAAGCCCCTCTGAGAGGCAGCCTAGTGATCCATGCTCCACACCGTGTGTATTTAAGGAAGAGAGTAGCCAAAATGATTGGCCGCAATTAAAAAATTTTAAGTCCTTTTCAAGCTGGTCTGTTTTAGAAAATGGATACTTGCCAACTGTGTAGGGCTAGAAAGAAATTGGGCCAAAATTAAATGCCATCCGATAATGATACAAAAGGAACTCGAGTCATGGAAAAGTTTCATAGAGCCTTGGGAAGCTCTCCTGTCTAGCTCTTCTCACTGGTCCACACTGAATAAAACAGCCCACAGGTGAGGACACTGGAAACCAAGTGCTTAGGAGGCTGGTGGGTAGAGTTCGCCGTGTTTACCACTAGGGGGCGGGGCCTGCCTGTTTTTCCAGCTTGAACAGGCGACGAAATAGTCTACTGTTCTCCCATCCTGTGGGTCTTTCCAGGGCCGAGGAGCACACTCACGACATTTTTTCACTTATAAGCGACAACTTCGACAAGTTTTTTTAAAATATATTTTATTGGTTTTTTACAGAGAGGAAAGGAGAGGGATAGAGAGTTAGAAACATCGATGAGAGAGAAACATCAACCTGCTGCCTCCTGCACACCCTCTACCAGGGATGTATCCGCAACCAATGTACATGCCCTTGACCGGAATCGAACTCGGGACCTCTCAGTCCGAAGGACGACGCTCTATCCACTGAGCCAAACCTGTTTCGGCAACTTCGACAACTTTTCAAAGAGTGGGACAGAAAACCGGCAAAGTGTGAACTTGGATACAAACCTCACATCACAGTGTAGAAACAAGAGAGATGAACCTGTAATTGTTGGGCAGGAGGGGGCGGTGGAGATGCGGCACAGGATAGGAGCAGAGCATATGTATCCCAGTTTTGTAAAGGAAATCTATTTCTGTCTGTGTAAGAGGTGGAAGTCATTAGCAAAGGTAAGTTGATGAAATGTACAGATTGGAAGTGTAGATTTTTTTTTTAATTGTACATAAAAAACGTCTAGAAAAGAAACTGCCTGGCGGGTGTGGCTCAGTGGCTGAGCATCCACCTATGAACCAAGAGTCACTGTTAGATTCCCGGTCAGAGCACATGCAGGGTTGCAGACTCCATCCACAGTAGGAGGTGTGCAGGAGGCAGCGGATCAATGATTCTCACCCTTTATGTTTCTATCTTTCCCTCTCCTTTACTCTCTGAAATATATATACATATATATATATATATATTATTTTTTTAAGTAAGAATTTCATTGGAAATTCTGCAGAAGAGAAATACTGACAGCCCTTCTGGATGTTAAAACCTATTAGCAGTATTCAGTCTCCATAATTAAAAAAGTGTGATAATGGCATATGACTAGACAGATCACTAAAATCAAATATGGGCCCAATACAAATGGCCATTTAGAAATGATGAAGAGGCCATCTAACTGAGTATTATCCAATAAATGGTGTCAGGAAAACTAGAGAAGCATCTGGAAATATTATAAAGTTGGAACCTTGCCTGTTATAGTTGGATAGATTCCAAAGGGGTCAAAGATGTAAAGATAATAAGAAGAATTCATACAGCACTAGAGGAAAGTAGAGGATAATTATTTTATTCCTGTCTACCTGAAATAAAGCACAGGTACTACTAGAGACTAAATGCTTGGGTTCCCCCCCCACCCCCACAAATTTATATGTTGATATCCTAACCCCAAAGCGATGGCATTAGGAGAT